GGCACGTTCGGCTCCGAAAGGTTCGGTAACCTGTTCTTCCTCTCTGTTGTATGTACTCCGCTATTCCGATCTCGATAAATCCACCATGTTAAAAAGCGGTGTCAAGAGCACGCTCGTACTCAGTGTCACGCTGTCCTTCAACCACGGTAGCCACATGCTTTATGCACTGTTCGCCGGCTTGAAGTAACCAATTTTGTTCTGATTGAGTGAAATTCACTGATGGGGTACTCTTCTTGGTGACATACTTTCCCACTTTCGGTTCTACACGGTTTTTAATTTTTAAGACACGACGATGCGTCCCCTTAGAAGTGTCTTAAACGAAATAATCTCTCGTCAGCAAGCAGTCAGTTTTAACAATTTTTGAAGAAAACATTTCGTTTCACAAATACGAGAGAAAAGGGAAGTGACAATTTTTTTTTTAAATGACTCCGTTCTTAAGCTCGGTGTCGCAGTGGGGGTCATTGGGAGCATTGTTCGGCGACAAGATAATTTCGAATCGAAATTAAAAGGACTCTACTTATAAATATTTGTGATTATATTATGTTTGTGTCGACTACATAGCATAAGTTCTTGCAAATAAACATCTGTTCCGCTCGGTAAATCAATATCGCGACCAGTGAAGTGTGCAAAACTGAAATTTAGAAATTCCTTTCGCTCGAGGACGACCGATGTAGCCTTGAACTATTTTCTCGTGAAAGATTTCCGGACACGTTACTCGAGGAATTAAGGAAATTTAGAAGCGACGAGAAAGATTTGTTGACAATCACGATTGAAGTTTCAGTGACTCATTTTACAAACTGTGAATCTACTGAATGTTGAACGACTCTCTGTGACAATCCAAGATTCGAACGAACAATGTGAGATCGATCGTGTAATTGGCAGGAAAGCAATAGATTCTAGATGCATCGGTTATTTAAACGAGAAGAGGATTCTGGACTGCACGGTGTATTTACTGTGTATTTACTGTTCGAGAAGTAGGTGAGCAACTGCTGCTTTCCATTTCAAACGCGTTCAAATCTCCATCCGAGTGCAAAATTTCGAGATCGATTTTTACGCTTTCGTTGAACGAAACGAAACAATAATTTCGTCCAGCCATTAAACAGTAGTCTGTATTGTTATTACATTACAAGAAATATCAATAACGAAAATTCAATATACGTAAATAACGGAATATTAAATATCGTGTTGTTTAAAATGATACGAATAATAGAAATCCATGAATGAATTAATGTAAGTACAGATATAAGAAATATATATATATATATATAATATAATAAAAATATAATAAACATATATATAAAAAATATAATAAATTAAAAACACAGAAATAAAATAAAGAAAAATACGAACGTACTATATATATATATATATATATATAATAGAAGCGTATTGAATTTAATTAAAATTAAAATCAAAGTTAAAAAATTAATGTAAGTACAGATATAAGAAATATATATATATATATATATA